GATTTTAGCTTTAAAATGTAACGAAATAAAAGTAAAAGTAGCTATTTAAAAAAATTAACTGGTAAAATTACAAATCCTCAAAAAAATTACTGTGATGAAGTAAATGTACTTAGTTACTATAAACTTTGCTGAGTACATGAAGCTACRTATACTAATCACTCAGATTTTAGAAAATCTTTCACACAGCACACAAACTGTTAAATGTTCAAGAGCTTTAGGAGAAGCATACAGGAAAAGAAGCAAAAACCTAACCACATATGTTGAGTATATTTAGTTTGTTTAAAGCTCAAAGCAACATTCTTTAAATAGTCTATAGTAATATAGTATTCCCTAAACATTAAACATTTTTATACTCTTACAACAAATGTCACTCCTCCTTCTCCACTTTGGTTTAATTTTCAACTGTTTTTTTATCTCACTGTTGTGTCTGTTGAGATGTTGATGTTTTTAGGGAATTACATTGCTGTCTGGTTATCTTAGTGATTATCATTAGTTTTACCTGCACATAAATGTAAACACACAACTAACCTACAAACTACTCAGACATTGGAGCACACGTCTCATTCGGACCCTCAGCCACAGATGAAGCTGAGTTTCTCCAGGCAGTCCCAGCTTTCCCACAACCCCACTTTGGTTAAAGCTCCGCAGCGCCTGTTTATTGGACACTGGATACTCGTTGGMCTCCAGTTCTCGTAMCCCAGAYGGTYCCCATTCACCCACAGCCACTYGTGTCCAAGGTAACGCARGCCGATCCACACCYGCTCGGTGACGCCGGTCTGTTGGATCTCGTTTGTGGTCAGCATGTTCTCGGTCAGAGACAGCAGGCTGGTGAGGTTGGCTTGATTCTGTGTGCAGTGCTCCAGAGCCTCCTCCCAGGTCTTCTTCTCCTGGACCACCGTCAGGTTCAAACAGAAGAAATTCTGATTGTTTGCACCATCTCTCCATTCCCATCCGTTGTTGGTCCAGTAGACATTAACAGCATTGTTACCTGGTAAATGAAGGTTGTTGAGGTAAGAGACGTTGTCTCCTCCTGACCACTTCCATTTTAGGGTGGGTTTATCCCAGTAAATACCAATCCATCCTTTCTTGTCATCATCAAYGCACTTTTTGAACACCTTTTCCTCCTGTTCATTGGTGAGCGGTGAAAAATCGGTGTATTGAGACTGGCAGTACGTCCGAGCCTTTCCCCAGTCTTTCTCGTCGTTGACAAAGACGTGTTTTTTAGACAAACAGCACACACTCGTAAGGATGATGACTCTGAGGACGACCTCCATCCTGCTTCAGTTTGAGTTCAGCAGCTCTGAGGCTCTGATTTTATCCTCCCCCTCAGACGCCTAGGCAAACATAAACCAAATCTCATGATGACTTAAACAAAGTAAAATAATGTATCTTCAAAACAAATGTCCACCCAGCTGGACTCAAAGTTTTCTTTGCTAATGGCAGCACATCTCTACCTGCTGTGGAAGGCAAATGGAGCAGAACGAGAAAACATTACGAGGAACTGGGACAAAAGCAACATTCACTGGACTTCGTCAGTCATTCCCAGCTATGGAAAATGCACCTAAGAGCCATCAGCACACGTGAATGTTGAGAAGTTCCTTCATTTTCAGACTTTTCCACAGTTGTTATTCTGGTGCCAAATGTAAAATAAGAGTTAAAACAATGTCAGACATTTTCATTATTCAGCTCCCTTGTAGCTAAAATTTAATCTAAAAAATCTTGTTATTCAGCTGATTGTTCTTACCTTTTTCTAAATGTTAAATGTAAGACCAATGAGCTAAATAACAATAAAGTTTGGTATTCAGTGTTTGCAGAAACGCCTAAGTGTGGGGTTTGTTAGCAGATTGACCCATGAGCAGACAGACTCAGGGGGAAATTAAAGTAAAATAGTTTATTTAATGAAAACAAAGGCCAGCGTGGCAGCAGTAAGCTGAGGCTGAGCTGAGGAGTGGAGACAGAGAACTGAAGATATGGAGCAGGGGCTGAGGAGAACACAAAGCAGCTGGGCTGACAGGTGAGGGTGGCTGATTGAATGACCAGGAAGCAGACTGAGGGAGGAATGAGAAATGAAACAGGAGAAACAAGTGAACTACAACACAAAGCACATAAAAGATAACAAAACACAGACTAGAATACTTTTCTGTGGTGGATGACATACAC